GGTTGTAGAAAAAATGCTTTTAAAAATAAAAAAAAAAGCCTCTGATGATTGTGCGGCTCAGCTGGGCATGGGGGGTGGGCAGGGATTTTTGCTACTGGTTCTCTGAACCACCCGCCTCCATCGCTACCCGATTGGGTGATCTGGTCCCAATCGGGAGCATTTCACCCCTGGTTCAAAGTTATAACGGCACTGAAAAATGTGACTTATGACTGTTTTTCACACGACCTTTGAAGCATCTCCAAGATCATGTGATCAAAGTTCAGGTGTTTGGCAACTGGTTCGTATTTATGACCATTGCTGTGTCCCAGGGTCATGTGATCCCCCTTTGCAACCTTCTGACAAGCAAAGTCAATGGGGATACCAGATTCATTTAACAAACAGGTTACTAACTTATCAACTGTAGTGATTCAGTTAACAACTGTGACAAGAAAGGATGTAAAATGGGGCAAAACCCACTTAACAAATGTCTCACTTAACAACAGAAACATTGGGTTCAATTGTGGTTGTAAGTCAAGGACTACCTATAGTTAAAAACATTAAATACAAGTTGTGCACCGTTACTATTGAAAAGTAGGTATTCTTTGTATCATTATTTGCTGTTTAACTTGATTTTATTTGTTAAGTATTTAACTGCAAGATGCTAACTGTAGTGAACTGATCTACTGATATAGTATTCTATTGATACTTCATCTTCATAGAAATCTGTGAATTACAATGTTATACCTGCAACCTTGAAGAATGTATCCTCAGAAGTAAGTTCCACTAAGTTTCTCAGCATTACCCAATATATTGTTTAAAAGTTGAGGTTTCAACTAAAACAACAGATGACTTATTCTGCCTTTCCATGTAATACTTCTCTGATCAATATTCTTCTCAATTCCACCCCTGCAGCAAAACCCCAAAATGGGGTTTCAGAACTGTTAGTTTACTTCTTCTTTTTTTTTTCTCCAATTTTTATTTATAAGTACAAACTAAACAGAACAATGAAACGTACAAAACATAAAAACATATAAACATCCATTTCAATACATGTCCAGTTTGTCGCAACTATAATATACATTTCTCTTTGTATTTTGACTCTTCCTTATTTGGTCATTCCCTTTTGTCTATCTAATATTGATCTTTGTTGACCTGCGTCTGTTCTTTGTTTCCATCATATTATATTTGGTCATTTTATTTACTTCCTATTGCTTCATCTCTTTCCTATCCTTCAACCAACTATACCACTTTTCCCATACTAAGTAAAAGTCATGTTCTTCCCTATTTTGTAATTCCTTTTGAGTCTATCTAATTCCGCACATTCCATAATTTTATTGATTACTTTATCTGGTGTTGGTATATCACTACTCTTCCAATGTTGCGCGTGCTGCTGTTATCATATGTATAATTAAATAGGTTGTTTCTTTTTCATAGTATCCATTCACTATGCCTAATAAGAAGCTTTCTGGTCTTAGTTCTATCTTTTGGTGTGTTTTTCCTCTATTTGTATTTTTATCCTTTGCCAATATTGTTTCGCCATTGGGCAGGTTCACCACATATGGTAATAGGTGCCTTTGTGGTGGTTGCATTTCCAACATGTTGATGGCGTGCCGGGGAACATTCTTGCCAATCTGGCTGGTGGCAAGTGCCACCTATAAAACATTTTATAGAGATTTTCTTTATAGAGTACAGACATTGTCAATTTATAATTTATTTTCCATAGTTTTTCCCATTTGTCTAATTGAATACTATAACCGAAATTTTTTGCCCAGGTTATCATATTTTCTTTCACTACCTCTTCTTCTAATTTATATCCTCGTAAGTAATTGTAAATTTTTTTGATCAGTTTGTCCTGTGTCCCTTGCAAAATTTTATCTAATTCTGTTTGACCTTTTTGAAATTCAAATTGAGCCAAATCTTTATTGTATCTTGATTTTATTTGTATATACGGCCACCAGTCAATGTCTGTACCCATCTCTTTTAGTTCTTGCCTCGTTCTTAGTTCCCCCTGATTGTTTAACAGATCTTTATAAGTTTTCGTTTTGTTATAGTCCATGGCATTTGGATAGATCTGGGCTTCCATCGTTGACAACCACTACGGGATTTTGTAATAACGTGTCTTTTTAATACTCTGCCATGTTTGGTATAATGCGTGTCTGATTGTATGTCTCTGAAAATATTCATGCCTTTTGTCTGTGCCCTCCCATAAGAAGGCATGCCATCCTCGCCGAAGATCCAATCCTTCCAAATTCAATAGTCTATGGTTTTTGAGTTCCATCCACTCCTTGATCCAAATTAATGCTGATGCTTTGTAATATATTTCCCAATCGGGCAATGACAATCGTCCTCTCTCTCTTGAGTCCTGTAGGTGTTTTAGTTTAATTCTTGCCTTCTTCCCTTGCCATGTGCAGTCTGCAATTAGTTTATTAAAGTCCTTGAAGAAGTTCTTTCCCGGTTTTATTGGAATCACTTGAAACAAGAATAGTATTCGAGGCAACACATTCATTTTAATGGAGGCGATCCTTCCCAAAAGAGATAGCTGTAACTTTTTCCAAATTTCTAAGTCTTTCTTAATTTGTTTTGTTAATTTATCATAATTATCTTCTCTAATTGATTTACTTCTATTTGAAAGAGATCCAAACTGCAGTAGGGACTTGTATCCATCAAAATGTATATATCCATTCTGACAAATGAAATTAGACACAATAGCTTAAAGCCAATTTAAGTACAATTCTTATTCTGAAGCACTATATGATCTCACAGATGGCTTCGTCAAATGCATTTCATCCAGCAGATTTTAATTTGTTTGGACACACAAGCCATTGTGCTTGAAATCAGCAGAATTACAACAGATTATTAGAGAAAGGAACTATACTGCTCAGAGAACTTTGCCAGTTGCATCAGAGACAAGCAGGCAGGCATAAAACAGATCATGATAAATTTTTAAGGACCACCCTCTGAATTTTAGTCACATGAGACTGTGAGATAATGTGCAAAGCTTTTTGGAATATGCATTATTAAAACAGGTCTGTCTAGCTCTGAGACACATAAGACACATAACCACCCAAAAATGCTTCATTAAACTAAAAATTCCCTTCCTTGATGCAGTAGATATATTCTGCGATTTAAGAATTTAAAAGGAAATGCAAATAATTTTTATGATTTTAAATCATGTTAAAAAAGGAACACCAGCAAAATTAATAAGATACATATGAATAACTATGCCTCTTCTTGTAGTTTTAATGTAAGTATTTTGAATTTCTATTGCACAAAAATAAGTAGTTTTATTGTAATGCTCCTTAGGACAGCCCACAACGATTAATACCCTGGGTTTTTTTATATGAGGCTATTAAAATTATGAGAAAAATAACCATTTCTAAGCTATTCACCTTTCAAAGTTCAGAACTGCCAGTTTTAAAATGTACAGCATGGTACAACATTTTGAGTAACTTGTACAGCATCTCTTTTACTCTTTACAGAATTAAATATGAATGCAATGAATTTCAAAGAATGCTGATTTGGAAATTGGAGATATATTAGTATTGGAATTATTTGGGGGGTTGGTTTCTGGGTTTTGTAGAGGCTTTTAGAAGCTACATGCAATTCTGGGGGCAAAATTTGACACCACCAAATTAGACATATGGCATAAATCTAACAAAAATACTCTGATATTATCGTAACTAATTTCCAATACTTAAACAACTTTGCAAAGATTGGTATAATCATTTCTTCAAATTGTTACTGTAAGGAAAACATAGTTATTTAAACTTGTTCCTCAACAACTAAATCCTCAATTAGTGAAATGATCCATCTTCGTCAGAAACAAGATAGCATCCTGACATTAATTCTTCTAGACAAGTAAAATATTGGGTACACAAAAGAAAAATGACTTTTTCAGCAACAAAACTAACCAAATCTTCTTCCAGCTTTAATTATATGAATTGTGTATTTTCTTGTCTTACTGCTATTTCCAAGTTATCCTTTGAATATTTATTTGTGGGTATGTCTGAGTGGCAACAAACACAGCCCTGTTTAGTATACTTATGAAGTGCAATGAAGGCAAAACTAGAGCATTTGCCAGCTTGACCTAATACTGCAAAGCTCTAATTCCTTTCTCAAAGTCTGCTTCATTTCCTAGAAATCTGAAATCAAACATACAACAGCTTATTTTATGATTAAAATCTAGAATGCCTTCTCAATACCAAATATTTAAACAAATGATTTGAACAAATGGTTTTGCTTCCTAAAAATGTAGACTTATATACAGCATAGATTGCACCTTTAAATCTGCTAAATGTTAGGAGAGCTAGAACACACTGTATTAATTAAATTAATTTGTGTAGCACAGAATATATTTCATTTAGAAACATTCAGACATCAAACTGTTTTCTCCTTGCCAATGCAATGGTTTCTACTCAGATTGTTTTAGTTTACACATGAATTTTGACCTGGATGAATGAAGTTTCAAAGATCAAGGCTCCATCTTGCCCTTCTGAAGGTCTGCAGAAGATCATCCAGAAATGGTATGATGCACTGGAAGAAATTGGTCTGTAATGGGGAGGGCTCTTTATTCATGTTCTGAGAGGGATAAAAGAGGAAAGTGTAGGAAGCTTTGAAGAGGCAAACCATTCTTATTACCATCCCTTCAAACCACTCAGAATGCTTCAAAAATTAAAATAGAGAATTTGGCTGTTTTGCTTCCAAATTTTAATGATGTAATCTTTTAGATATAGCAATGCATGGTGGTTTCAAATGGAGCACTCTGGGACTCTTACAGAACCTTAGCAATTTTAAGATGTATCCACTTCAACTCCCATTGTTGGCTGGGGAATTCTGGATTCCATACATTTTAACATTTGCCAAGGTTGAGAAATACTGACATGGATGACAGAATATGGCTTGCCCATCTCTGATCTAGAAAAATTTATGTACCACCAAAAACTAGCTAAAGTAAATTCCAGGACCAGTGAAAAGTATGCCATATTTATCAACTAGTACCATATGATCCCTTTAATTCTTACCAAGTTCTACATCCTGGTCATCAGTAAGAACAAGAATGATGTTTGGGCGGATATTCCGCCGATCCCTTTGAAATCTTCCCTTCAGACGCTGATTCAACAGGAAGGCTGAACTGTCATCCAGCAAGGATAAGAGAGTCATTATGAATAATCCCATGACAATATTTCGGTGTGCCATATTGTTCTTATTTTGCATGCTCTTCAAGCAAATTTGAGGGAGTATTTTCTGGTTCTTCCTCAAACGCTGATCTAAGAGGGAGCAAAAAATAAAATAAATAAAAACATAAAAAGTATGCAATAAAAATATAGACGTATTTTATAAACCATTTAAATACATTTTTTTTCAAAAAAAAATATTTTCCTTTGACTATGAAAAAACTTGACTATGCAGTCCTTCCAATTCAATTCCAAAACAGCATTTTAAGTACAGCAGTATATACAAATAGCACTTATCTGCAGCTCTACAAAAAGCTGCATTTTTTGGGCAGCTGTCCTCCTTAATCTTGGGACCCTATGATCCCAAGAAAAGATGTGGCTACTTTAAATGGGTGCAAAACACATTTGCAATACTGCATACTTTGAGGCATCTTTCTGAAGCTGAGTACTTCACAAGGATTGTGAAAGTACATTACATGGCAATCATAGCAAGTAGCAAAAGACGTGCATGCCTATAAAATCTGAATGAACATATACAAAATAGTCATCGACAACCTTCATTTACAACATATTTCCACTAAATCACTTCAGTTTTAATTTATTTACAACAGTTGGAGTAGATAGGTAGGTAGATAGGCAGGCAGGCAGGCAGACTTCGAGTCATTGTTATCTCTATTAACTGCCTGGAGAAGTTCCTGCCATTTTCTTGGCAAGATTTTCAGAAGTGGTTTGCCCTGCCATTTTCTTCCTAGGGCTAAGAAAGAAGGACTGGCCCAAGGTCAACACGGTGACTTTGTGCTTAAGGCAAGACTAGGACTCAAGGTCTTTTGTTTCTGGTTTAGTTCCTTAACAACTACACCAAACTGGCTCTCTTTTCATAACTTACCTTAACTACAAAACAAAACGAAATGAAAACCCACAAACAGAATTGGCATTGGTATTAAGATCAGAAAAGGACACTCCAGAATAGATTTTTTAACATTTATAGTCATTAAATAGAGAAACAATCTGTTGAGTGGGGTTTATAGGTAAAAGTAAAGAAGTGTCAAGTCCATCTTTCTGTTTTTTTCCTTAACAACCCTTTTTATTATACTAAGGCAATATACAGAAACTAACTATAGAATTAACATTTTAGGGCAAGGTAGCAATAAACTTAAATTAATTCTATAAAAGTAATGGAAATGCTAACTTTCCTCAAAAATTTAATTGCAGTAATTCCCTCAAAGCAATGAAAAAAATGCATGCTTACTGACACCACAATTGAATTTCTTTCCATGTGTCTGACACATGCAGGATTAATTTAGAAGAGTGCTATAATTAATTCTGAACTTTATAAACTTTTTGGCTGTGTGGGTAGAGATATTCGGTGTTATGTCAACAAGATTGGGTCGTTATTTTAAGTCAGCGAGTGTTTTAAAAAGTAGAAAAACAAGCAGGTTGCTGAACTTGTTTTAAAAAGGGAAAACAGAGAACCCATTCTTTAAACAAATCATAAGCTGCCATACTTTTTTATTTACTTGACATAATTTTATTTACTTGGCATAAATCAACTGTCGACATCTTTTCTTATCCAGAAAACTGTCATATTCTTATTTGGTTATTCACTGAATTTAGTATACCCAAGAAATATAATTTGCAGAAGTGCACAGTTCAAAGTTCTCTAAGCACCTTTTCATATTTTATTAAAAATCACCTTCACTAGTAAAGCACTGGACTAGAAATTTATAGTAATTTTTATAAGGGAGTGGGAGGCACCGTGTTACTGTGGTTCTCCTCCTATCTCTCTGGTAGATCACAGTCGGTGTTGGTAGGAGGACAGAGGTCGACCCCTAGGCCCCTCATTTGCGGGGTGCCTCAGGGATCGGTCCTCTCTCCCCTCCTATTTAACATCTACATGAAGCCGCTGGGTGAGATCATCCAACGATATGAAGTGAGGTATCAGCAATACGCTGATGATACCTAGCTGTATATCTCTACTACACGTCAATTCAGTGATGCAATGGGCCGGTGCCTGGAGGCTGTGAGGGTCTGGATGGGAGTCAACAGTCTCAGACTTAACTCAGACAAGACCGAGTGGCTGTGGGTATTACCTCCTAAAGACTATGTTGACTGTCCATCCTTGGTTCTGGGGGGGGGAGAAACTGTCCCCCTCAGAACGGGTTCGCAATTTGGGTGTCCTGCTAGACTCACAGCTAAGTTTAGAGCAACATCTGACAGCTGTGGCTAGGGAGACCTTTGCACAGGTTCGCCTGGTGCACCAATTGCGACCCTACTTGGATCAGGAGGCTCTCCTCACGGTCACTCATGCCCTTGTCACCTCATGGTTAAATTATTGCAACACGCTCTACCCTTGAAAAGTGTTCGGAGACTACAGCTGGTCCAGAACGCAGCTGCGCAAGCTGTCGTGGGTGCACCTAGGTACACCCACATTACACCAATTCTCCGCGAGCTGCACTGGCTCTTTATTGGTCTCCAGTCACAATTTAAGGTGTTGGTTATTACTTTTAAAGCCCTACATGGCTCAGGGCCAGGGTATCTTCAAGACCGCCTTCTACCGCATAACTTCCAATGACCAGTAAGATCCCACAGAGTTGGTCTCCTCTGGGTCCCGTCAGCTAAACAATGCCAGCTGGCGGGCCCGCGGGGGAGGGCCTTCTCTGTGGCTGCCGCAGCTCTCTGGAACCAGTTGCCTCCTGAGGTCCGGACCATCGCCACCGTATTGGCCTTCCGAAAAGCGGTGAAGACCTGGCTTTTCCAGCAGGCCTGGGGCCGTTGATCTCGCTCTTGCAATCCGGCCATGAATGGTGTGAATGAGTTTTAATGTTTTTAATTCTTAAATGTTTTTTTATAATGATTTTAAATGCATTGTGAGTCGCCCTGAGTCTTCGGAGAGGGGCAGCATACAAATTGAATTAATAATAAATAAATAAACCCAAATTTCATGTCATATTATGCAACTTTATTACAACCCTGTTGATCAAACCTCTGTGCTACCAATTTCATTTGATTCATGGCATCTTACAATTATTAAAGTATCCACAGTACATATAACACTACAATTAAATATTTACAATAAATATAAAGCTTTAAAATGTTCACATTTAACTATATACCCTTTTAAAACAATACACCAAAACATCCATTGCAGCACTTTTCTGTCACAAAACAATAATCCTATTGAAACCCCATGATTGTTATTCCATATCCCACAGATTATGATGACAAGAGAGCAACAGTATTAAAGCTTTGAAGGACTTCTGGAATAATTCATCTTTTAATGCTTTCTGGAAGGCTGTCACAGTCGCTTATAATCTAATATCCAAAGAAAGCTGTTACAATTTGGTATCGCAACTCAAAAGCACTTTCTCCCTTTCTCTCACACACACTTTTCTTTTCTCATAAAGGTGTGGATTTTTCCCAGTAAAAATCCCACAATAAATATGGTGTTTCCCTGAAAATAAGACATGTCCGGATAATAAACCCAATCAGGCTTTTCAGCGCATGCGATAATATAAGCCACCCTTGCAAAATAAGCCCCCCCACCAACTACTTACACGCATGCGCAGCCGGTCCCGCCATTTCCCCTGATTGCTTGTCGCGCAACCAAAATGAGTTGAGGAGAGGAGGTGAGGCCGAACAGCTCAATACATTCCACCCACCCCAATGGCAACAGCAGCCTGGCTGTTTCCCTTCCCCGCCATCTCTTTATCAAGTGGGGTAACAGGTGGGGTGGGGGAGAAGCAAGAGGCGTGGAGCGAGATGTGGCTCCCCTTGCCGTCTCTTCTCCCCACCCCTTGCCGGGCATGGCAGGGCTCCTGCCCCTTGCTTAGCCATCTGCCCCCTTTAGGGATGCAATTTGGGGGTGGCAGGTGGGGGCGGGCAAGAAGCAGGACGCAGGTCTTACCTTTCAAGCTCTGTCGCTTTTCTTGCCATTGTGTCCAACATGCTGTAAAAAAAACCTTTCTCGCAAATTCAATCAAACTTCTCAAACTCCCGTTAAGGTTTTCTTTATAGTGTATTTCTCTGGACACAACAGCGAGGAAAGTGACGGAGCTTGAAAGGTATGACCCACGTCTCACAGCCCAACATGTCCCACCCCACCCCAATGGCAACAGCTGCTTCCCTTCCCCACCATCTCTTTATCGAGAAGGGTGGCAGCTGGGGCGGGGGAGAAGGTTTTCTTTTACAGCATGTTTCCATGGACACAATGGTGAAGAACATGACGGAGCTGGAAAGCATGTCCCGCTTCTCATCTGCCCTGTCTGCCATCCCCAAATTGCATTCCTAAAGGGGGCGGGTGGCTAAGCGAGGGGCAGGAGCCCTCTCATGCCCGACAAGGGGGGGAGAAGAGATGGCAAGGGGAGCCACTTCTTGTTCCACACGTCTCTCTTCTCCCCCGCCCCATCTGCCATCCCTCTCGATAAAGAGACGGCGGGGAAGGGAAGCAGCTGTTGTCATAGGGATAGGGTGGGATGTGTTGGGCAGCTCGGCCGGCACAAAGGACAGGGAGGGGAGGCGACAGCAGCAACTGGATATCCAGTCTCACGCTCGCTGCTTCCTGCACCCCCAAAATAGTAAGACCCCCCGATAATAAGGCCAAGCCCTTATTTGGGGGGGGGGGGCAAAAGAAAATAAGACCCCTGTCTTATTTTCGGGGAAACACGGTATATCTATACATTTGTGTGAAAATTCACGTTGCTCAGATAAACCTTAACTTAAAAAGTTCTTAAGCTGTGGCAAACTACAGGCCTGAAAGAAAAATATCAGGTTTTGGCTACACATAAAGACAGAAAAAACAGGAGAACCTGCGCATATAAGTGTTGGTATAAGAAAAATAATCCTCAAATGCAGTTACTAGAGACATCAAACTGGAAGATGCCATTGAGGCTAGCTGCCTATTCTGTGCAAGAATCCAAATTAAACTTTGATAGACAGCTGTCCACCTCTCCTTCTAAACCTACTACATTTTTCAGTAATTAGTTCCATTGATAAACTGTTTTTATCTTATAAAATTACTGTTAGCATTTCACCAACTCTTATTCCTATGACTTAACATTTATTATTGTATATCCTAGGATGATAAAAAAATGATA